TTCCAATTTTGTTTTCTGTAGGAAATTTCATGACAAAATGGTAGACAGAGGGGCTAGCCCTCATGGCATTGAGGGAAGGTCTTCCAAGCAGGATGTTGTATACTGAAGGTGCATCGACCACTAAGAACCTCACAATGGTGGTGGTCTGGCAAAGAGGATCTCCCCTAGTGAGCACGAGCTAGATTGACCCTAAGGGTAATACCTTTTCCCCTGAGAACCCTAATAGGTTAGCGCTTAATGGCTCGAGTTTGTCCCTACCTATATCCATCTTGTCGAAGACAGACATGAAGATGATGTCAGCAGAGCTTCCGTTGTCAATCAAGACTCTATGGATAGTTTTGTTTGCGACAATGGCTCTTACCACTAGGGGATCATCATGAGGATGATGGTAACCTTCCAAGTTTGAATCTGAGAAAGTGATATTCATGTTTAGCCGAGGTGTTTTGGACACGGTATGCACTTCCAGTATTTCGTCATTCTGATTTTGCGCAGGTGAGCCTTCTTGGATGAGCTGGACTCCCCACCTGCTGTGAATCCTCTGGATATCACTCTGATCTCCCCTAGAGGTTGTTGATGTTTATGCGGGGCCTGTTGATGAGGTGCTGGAGGTGGTGGAGCTCGATTCTGATTGTCATGCGCCACAAAGCAATGCAACTGCCCTCGTCGAATCAGGAACTCGATTTCCTTCTTCAGCTAGATGCAATCATCTATGAGGTGGTCATAGTCCCTGTGGTACTCGTAAATGCTTTGTGGCATCTCTTTTCGCTGGGTCTGCTTTTCATCCGAGGTGGCCACATTAGAAATTTCTCATTCTATACTTTTTAAAGAATCTGGGATACCATAGCTGTGAGTAGGGTGAACTACCGAGGTACATACATTGGCTGTAACTTTGGCTGTGGAGGGCCTAGGCGATCTCTAACATCCCCCCTTCTTTTGGGGGAATGATCCCTATCTCTTCTTGGAGACCTATCTCATCCTTTTTCTTTTCTGGGACTTTGGTCCCTCTTTTTCTCTTCCTTCCCGTTCTCCTTCTACGTGGATGAGCTCCCTACCTTAGAAAGAAGAGCTTATTCGCCATTAATATACTTTTCTGCCTTAGCTACCACTTCTGCCATGCTCCCTTATGGGTTTTTTGATATGAAGAACATCAAGTCCTTCGACTGCACTCCTAACCCAGCGATGAAAGCCATAATGGCAAATTTTTCATCTAGAACGTCAACCTTCAGTGATTTTGCATTGAACCTATGGATATAAGACCGAAGGTTCTCGTTGTGCCCTTGTTTTTACATTCAATAAATGATAGCTCAGTTTTTGATAGTTCTGGGATCCTATAAAATGTGATACAAATAATATGGAGAGCTCCCTAAAAGAAGAGATAGACGTCAGGGCTAACCTATTGAACCATTCTAAGGCTAAGCTTTGTAATGTAATGGCAAAGACGAGGCATCGCACAGGATCTTGATATCCATGCAACTCCATTTGGTTCTTATAGGTGTTGAGGTAATCTATGGATCTTCCGTCCCATCAAAGGCCTCCATCTAGGGCATTCTAAACTTCTGAGTGAGGGGGAAGTATAGCACATTTGCAGTAAAAGGGGACTCAGTATGCTAGACCAAGGCGTCCATAGTTACTGGGGTCTTGCCTCTCAGAGATTCCTTCATGTGGTTGAGCTCCTATTGGATATCTTTGAAGCGTTGTTCCCAATACTGCTCTCTTCTTCCCTGCGGGAAAGGGAGAAACTCGTTTTTCTCAGTTCCTACGTTCTGGCTTTGCACTTCTTTGTTATTACCATTCCTGGGGGGTGGATGAAGAGCATGGCCCATGGTTTGGCTACTTTCACCCCCTTTGTTAATCTCCCTTAGGGGATCGAGACGTTGATGTTGCTCTTGTAGGGGATCATTGGGATTACTCTGGGCTAGTCGCACCTTCTGAGGACATCGTAAAAGCTTCAAAAGCTCCTCATTCTGTTGTAATAGACGCTGGTTGACTAGCGTAGAACCTCCAATTTGTTATTCGATGGGGGATCCGCCATGGTAGGATTGGTCTATGTGGTGGAAAATAAGTCTTGAAGATTTACTTGTTGCCTTTCGCTAGTGGCTTCCTGTTGGTTCTACATCCATGGGGGATTAATCTGACTTCTACTCATATTACGTGTAGAGACCATCAATTGCTGAAAGATACCAGTGTGTTTGTAATACGAATAGTCGTGCCCACAGACAGCGCCAAACTGATGGTATGTGAAACATGATCGAGCAGATTTCGTGTACTATTGGATTTGATCTAAGCTACAAGGATCTTGGGAATACTGTGGTAAACCGGGGTAAGGGATGAAATACATATGAGAGTTATAGTGGTTCACTAGCTCGGGAACTCAGTTAATCCACTCTTCAATGGAGTCTCTTGCTCCTAGAATCTATATTGATAGTTATGAGAAGATCACATAGTGTTCTTGATACAATTTTGGTTGCTTGGTTTTTCTCCCCGCCTCTAAGTGAGGGTTTAGTGCAATATGTATAGCCTAGTTTCTAGTTCTATGGGATCTGGGGCGAGATCTTCGCCTACCTTTCGCTACATCCCACTTGATTTCTAGCGAAGGTTCATGCGGTTAAAGATCTTGTGCCTAAACTAACACTTACCGCCGTTGAGGGGGCGCGTTGTGGTTGCTAGCAGTCTTTCACTCATTTTCTTCAGGGTGCAGGTCGAGAGAGCCCCAGGTCTAGTCCTCTAAGTTCAAGCTCTATTGGCTGAGCTCCCTTCCTGACCTCACCTCCCCAGCTTAAACTTGGAATTTCTTCTAGGTATCATCAGGACCCATAATAAAATCAATAATAGTGATTAATCAAGTCTACATTTTAAGTTTATAGAGTATAGTTTAATAAATCACTTAATCCAATATTTGGTTAAAATTTTTAAACATGAGATTAAAACTTAAGGGTCGAGACCTGGCCCATAACCGGCCCGAAAGTTAAACTAATGAATATATAAGTTTGAAATCAATAACCTAGGACATAATAATAAAAAGACATTTGTATCCCTAATTTGTTCAATTACAAAAGAAAGAATAAGATAATTTAGTCAATTATGTAACAAATATTTTATTACAATTATGATTAATCCGTGAATTCCACGTTTATGCTATTATCAAACCAAAAATTGGATATGATTTATGTATACATCTCACAAAGAGAAAGGGTTTGAATTTGAAAAAGTTTGCTTAAAGCAATCCAATACCCATCAACAAGCCATTAGTCCAATGATATTTCTTACCTTATGAAGACTTGTTTTCACAAAGTCAAGAGTTCAAACCATAGTTTTAAAACCCATCTCAAACATCAACCCGGGAAAAGGACTGAGTCACTAGTTCAACTGTTGGATCATTGGTCAAATCGATCATATAATAAAAAAATAATTATAAATAGGCTAAAAATTCACAATAATTATGAAAATAACATGCTTAATATATTAGATCAAACAAAAACTTCAAAATCATCAAACACATTCTTTTTTTAACAGAAAAAAAGATTTTATAGATGTAATCCAAAAATTACAAGAAACAAAATATTACAAGAATGAAACAATAAAATTCTCAAAAATTACACTTGATGGCTTTAATCCTTAAAAATGACCAAAAAACATCTTCAGCATTATCAGAGTGCAAGACTTCACTGCCCATTCCCAGCGGCATCATCCACAGCACCTACACCCTTTAACCCTTGTCATCATAAACCAAAGCCCTTTTAACCCTCAAAACTGGCATCCCTCTCCTGTCCTGCAACAAGGCCAACCTAACATCACTGGGTAAACACAAAGAACCAGAAAACTCAAGAAGAATTTCTAGTTCTTACTGCTTGATTAGCCAAGCCATCTGCGACTCCATTCGCTTCCCTATAAACGTGCCTAATCTGAAAATCAACACCCCTCTACAACTCCTTAATTTGGCTAAGTAAATACAATAAGGCCATGCACAGGAGCATTTACCCAACACCATATTAACAAGTATCAAAGAATCACACTCAATTTGAAACTTCTGGGATCAAACACATATTCAATCCATTCAATTTCCTATACAACTTTGTTAAGTTAAGCATCAAAACCAACAACCGACAATTAATTAAACCCTAGAATTAATTAAAATAGGCCAAAAATTATACAAATACGAATCAATTAGTTCTAAAAATGTAATAGCAAACTAGCAGGCAGAGAGAGAGAGAAACGTAAAACCTCATCGTCGAAGATTTGCTATAGTGTTGTGAGCCTGAGTCAAGATCTGAATCGAAGAAGTTTTGTCGAAGATCTGAGTCCAATAAGCTTTTGTCGAAGGATTGTTTCAAAAGCTTAGATTTATCAAGAATTTTGGTCCAAGTCTTGACGAAGAAGAAGCCCAAAAGACCAACACAACATAGATGTTCAACGAAGGTATAATACCGGTGGTGAGATTGAACTTCACGGCTATGAAGGTGAAGAGCACACCCAGAATAAAGCTCGGAGCACTTCAAGTCTTCGATTGTGTGTGTGTGTGAGAGAGAGAGAAAGAGAGATGACTGAGCGACAGTCGCCTCGTCGGAGACGACGAGAAACAGACAACAGAGGTAAAAATGAAATGAAAGTTAGGCAAAAATGCTCTAGAACCAATTTTTATAGCATTTGAATTAGACTGTCTGATTTCGTCCGATTCAACGATTTTCTTACAAAATCAATCAAGTCATCGAATTTTATCCTTTTCATTATATCGAACAATTTAATAACTAAATCAGCTCGATTCGAGCTCTGATTTACCGATTTACTGAGTCAACATTTCAAATCAGACCGATTTTTAAAACCAAAAAACCGAAAACCAACCAAAAAGGTAAAGACCTAGGACGACGAAGTTTCCAACGAGAAGAGACATTCCGAGCTGAGTTTCTCTCTATGTAAAGCTAAGTCCCTTCATTTCATTTCCATGAGGATAATCTAGATCAGTATAGACAAGAACAAACTGATCCATTCGAAGCTTTGCAAATATGGGGGCGTCAGCATCAGACCTTGATCTTCTCTGTGATGATGATTTTGCCTTCTGGCCTATAAAGATCCGACCAAAATGCCGGAGATTCTCCGGCGATAACAAGCGTAGGCCTCCTTTAGCGACTTCATCAAACAGTCCTCTTGTTTCATCATCGACGAGCATAGAAACTGGTGAATCATCACAGAGCTTCTGTGAGATTTGTGCGGAAACGAAAGTAAGTGATGATATGTTCAAAATACAGAAATGTAGTCACTCCTTTTGTACTGACTGCATAAGCAAACATGTGGTGTGCAAGATCCAAGACAACAAGTTATTGTGCAGTGCCCAGGATTGTATTGCAAAAGTGTCCTTGAACTCGATTCTTGCAGGTGGGATTGTTTAATCGTATTATTTTGAGTTCGAGGCATGTTTCTTATTATTAATTGGTCGTGTTAATTGGTTTTGTCATTTTCAAATTCGTGTCGGATGGGCATAAAATTCTAGCAGGTCAATGATACCCAATGAGGTGCTTGCTCGGTGGGATGAGTTGCTATGTGAGTCACTGATTCTTGCTGCCCAGAAGTTCTACTGTCCATTTAAGGACTGTTCAGCCTTGTTGGTTAATGACACTGATGGAGTGATTAGGGAGTCCGAGTGTCCCATATGCCGGCGATTATTCTGTGCGCAGTGTTCCGTGCCTTGGCATTCAGGGATTGGGTGTGAGGAGTTTCAGAGACTGAATGAGGATGAAAGAGGGAGGGAAGATCTCATGGTGAGAGAGCTTGCAAGAGACAGAAACTGGATGAGATGTCCTTGCTGCAAATTCTATATGGAGAAGAACGAGGGCTGTTTACATATGACTTGCAGGTTAGTTTGTTTTAGTTCATGTTTAGAATTGAATTGGTCATTTTGATGGGCTAGATTCCTAATAGTTGAGCTTGCAAAGATCTGAGTTTATATGCTAATTGGTTCATTATAATACATGAAGGGTCATTACTCAATAGAGTAGTTTAAGTCTGATATGATCTTCAATGGTTTTCTAGTTTTAGGACAGGCTTCTGGACTCAATTCATCAAATTAAGTTACACCTATTCAAATCTTTTATGCTTTGGTAAATCTGATCAACAATTGTCTCCGGCACAAGAGGGGATGATACGGGGTGTGGAATACCAAATCGCTTAGTTAATGAGATGTACATAAATCGACATAGTTCCATGTAAATATTCTTTGGAGCTAGAACCAATCAATAGAATGAAATTCAATAATGGTAAACCTAGGAGCGTGACACGAGCATACTAAGTTTTCGGAAGTGAAGAGAGCCCGCAATGCGGTGTTTCATTTTGGTACACAAGATTATGCATTCTTCGCTGAGGTCGGGTCTTCAGGGATAGCATAATAACTGTTCAGTACTTGATGTGGTTGATCAAAGGAGTGCAAATTTCAGCAGCGACTAATTTCTTATTTTGCACAGTAAAACTTTTTGATTAAATGCTTGAATATATAGTTTAGCATATGTACATGACCCGCCAACAGGCCAGGATAGGCCTGTCCAAACTTACAGGTTACTTCGTGGAAGTGGGATGGGCTGTCCGGCCTGACAGTTAGCTGCGTTGTAGCACTGATTAGATCGGGCTAGCCCACCCAAAATAGTGCCACACTCGACTACCTTCATGGTCAACCCGGATGGTCCTTTAGCTGGGTGTTCATTGAACCTGGTGCAACTTGCTATTTGTTCTAAAAATTATTTTTTTGAAGTTTTACTGATTAATTTTCAGACCATGACCCTCCAAAAAAAATCAGGACCCATGACCTTTCTCGTTGCGCTATTAGATTGCCCGTGTGATATCGCTTGTCGGGCCAACTAGCTCATCAACCGTTGGGTGGCCCGGCTAACAGAATAGTCCATGGTTTGCGGGCCATTTGCTGAGCCTTATGTCAAACATACAATAGGTTTAGTACATACGAGAAACAAGATTTTGTGGTCTGATAATGAACTTGCAAGACTTGGGTTGTGCAGTTTTTCAATAATTCAATCTATTATTGTTTCCAGCATTACCAGTATCTATTACCTGCTCAATTTGAGAAATGAATGTGTATCTTGATTGCTCTCCCTCAAATTAAGAAGTTTTGGATTAAGTCAGAAATTGGAAGTCTCCTTGTTTGGTGACTGGTTTATTTGTTGCAGATGTAAATTCCAATTCTGCTATGCATGTGGGGGAAAATAGAGTGATACTCATGGCGGTTGCCAGAGACAATGATTGCCAGTGGGGTGAGTCGCATGTTTATGTAGACGTTGAATAGCTGATATAATCTAGAGGGAACGTTCCTAGCCTCTTCTAGGAATAGAGGCAATCTAGCATATGAGACTTCCGTCATGCAGAGTTTGGGAAGAATCATATATATGTTGTTTGCTCTGCTTGGCCAGAGATTGATTCGTGTTCTCGCCTGTTCTATGGTTCTAGTAAATCTCATCCAGAAAGTTAAATGCGCATGTTAAATGTTGCTATTGTCAAACTGTGTTAGGCCAAGAACTGTTTGTGTTGGTCATGAAGTGCAAATGCACCAATATATCGTCTTCTTCTACTCAATATTCGCCTACATAAATCTGAAGTCATTGGTTGATTGAGCCATTAATTCAGCTAAAGAGGCCCTTTGCCATTTTGTTCGCCAACATTGGGCTCCCTAAACCAAGCTGGTTCTTTTTCTATGCCTGAAGACTATGTGTTCTGCTTTACTTGTAATTTTGTTTTCTGTTATCAAGATGTAGACTGACTGATATAATGACGTTCTTGCAAGCTTTCAGAAAGGAAAAAGGAAGCCCTTTGTTAATTTCTATTTGTAAAATGCCTTTTTTTCTGGACCACTAAGTGGTTAAAATCTTCGCCTATTTGCTTTAAAGTTGAGGGTTCAAATCTGAGAGCAACCGCTTAGTACATATAATATCTAGATTACCCCTGCGTGCTCGCATTAGTAGGGATGACACATGATTTGAATGATCTATAATAAGGTCCTAAATATGAAGGAACCAGTTCCAATGCTACAGTACGAGGGGGGAGAATTGAGAATTGTTGTATGATGCGTAGCATTAGGCGTCGATTCACTCATGGACCCCCAAAAATTATATTGTGGTACAATATCAAAAAAAACACTCCGGTGCCGTAGACATATCCTATGTTTATTTGTCAATGATTTAAGTCATGCCGTCTATGGTCTTTCTTTTTGTCTTCTGAATTTTCATATACTTTAATTATGCTAACTAAGGTCTCATTTGGCCCCCTTTTGGGGAGTAAATATTGAATGTAACGGTAACACCACACCAATGAGCCTTTAATCCTTAGTAAGAGTTCAAGTACTCTTTTTCCTTCCCCTCCCAAAAAAAAATGGTGACACTACGTTGTCGTTATCACATTGTCACCAATTAATTATAAAATAACAAATAGTATTGATGAACCTCAACAGTAGATTGCTGGATAAATCGATCCAAACATGGATTTCTTGGCTTTCCTTCTTTCTTACATTTGTTTTTCTTCTTTTGCCTCTTTTCATCTTCCCTTGATTTTTTCCTCTCCTTTTGATTTTTTATCCTTCCCCTTTTTCTTTTTGCCATCATCTTTTTAAAATTTTCATTTCCACTTTCTTTTTGTCCATCATTGAAGATAAAAGGAGGCTGAAAATTAATGTCTAAGAACTAGTTCAGGGCGTAGCTATAAGGGGTGAGTATTCAACGTAAATCAAAATTTGCAATCATAGATGACCTGTCTGTAAATTGATCAAAAAAAAATTTAATTGAAGTACATATAAACTGTCTCGGCCACCACTAACTAAGAATGGCAATAGACCTAGGAAAAATGGGTATTCGTTCAAATCCTCCCCGTTTGGACAGGAGATATACTATACGTATCGGACGGTGGACGTATATAAGGATACCCCGTATAAACCCGTATAGGGATGGAGACGGAATGGACTGACACTTACCCTTGCTCGCCCCCGCTAACCCTATATATATATAAAGAGGTATTGAAATAGAAAGGTCGGAATAAAGAGGTGAGAAAAAGATTTTTTTTTTTAAAAGGGTATTGACTTTTAAACCTTCACTTCTTCTTGAGGCAGCTGTTTCTTTGCTGGGAGGCGGCTGTTCTTTTTATTGGGGCCGGACGCACATCAGGGAGGAAAAATGCCGATGGCAGCCGGTTTGTTCTATTTTTTTGGGAGGTTTTTGTGTCCATTATATTTATCGGTAACTAAATTTTCAGGTAGAGTAAGTGATGAACTTGTACGGTAGATGGTATTTATTTATTTTTGATCATAAACCTCAATTCCATTCTCACCCACCTATAAAGTTAATTTCAAAATCAGTGGCTCATTTTTCTTTCTTTGTCCAATAAGATAATATCTATTTTTTGTATTCTTTTTGATCACTTTTATTAAATCTGTTATTCTTTTTGTTAGATTGTGATGAGTTTTTGTTAGATTTAAAGGTCTGTGTTGTGTTAGCTATTGAGGATTTTTGTTTTGGATCTATGGTGTGTTAGATACAGTTTTTAGAGGTTGTTTGTTCAATTTTTATTTTTTTGTGTTAGATCTGCAATTTCATGTGCTACATATAAGTTGTTGTGTTAGAGT